AAGAATTTTGGAAGAAAATACAAGGACAAAATAAATGAAAAATTAGAAATGATACAAAATCTACAGATAGAAATCCAGAAGATTAATACTAAATTTTCAGAAATAGATAACACACTGAAGAAGCAAAGAAGTAGAATTGAATCAATGGAAGACAGAATTAATGAGATTAAGACAAATATCTCAATACTTCTTTGGAAAGGGATCAAACAGAAAAAAGATCAAAACAAAATGAAGAAAGCCTAAAGTTCATGTGGGAGACCATCAAAAGGAATAACCTACATATCACTGAAATTCCAGAACAGGAAGAGACAAATAAAACCACAGAGAAAATTGTAAAAGATTTGTTGGAAAAGAATTTCCCTGGTATGATGAAAGATAAGAATATATCCATTCAAGAAGTCCAATGAACCCCAAACAGGATAGACCCCAAAAGAAAATTACCAAGACATATCATCATCAAACTCACCAAAACCAAAGACAAAGAAAGAGTCCTGACAGCAACGTGGGAAAAATGAAAAGTTACCTACAAGGGGCAGCCAATAAGCTTAGATTTCTCAGCAGAAACCATGCATGTGAGAAGACAATGAGTGATATATATAAAACCCTAAAAGACAAAAATTTCCAACCAAGAATTATATACTCAGCAAAATTGTCCCTCAAGTATGATGGTGAAATGAGGACATTTTCCAGATAAACAGAAATTAAGGGAATTTGTTAAACCAGACCAACCTTACAAGAGATGCTAAAGGCAGTCCTTTGGACAGACAACCAACAAGGGCAAACAACAACTGACCATTAACACACATGATGACATAATCCAGAAACCAACCCAGTTATGGAAGTATCCAAAGTACTACAAGATTGTAAACAGGGAACCAGAGACATCAATTGATAAATGAGGACAACTACAGACCAAAAAGAGGGAAAAATTTGTGTAGTTACAGAACTTCTAAATGAGGAAGTCAAGACAACTGTAAGATAGAACAAACTGTTCTAAACTCAGGAAGAAAGTTATAAATCACAGGGTAACCTCAAAGAAAAATGATAAACTTTCACATCAAAATAAGAGAGAGGACCTGCACAAAAATTTAAAAATTAGAAACATTGTTAACAAAAATTAACAATTAAGTGATAACATGATTCATAAACAAACAAGCTCAGCACAGAAAATTATATGGAACAAAGAAATCAGCAACACCTCAAAAAGCACATAACAAAATGACAGCAACAAATTTATACTTGTTGATAATTACACTGAATATCAATGGATTACATGCACCACTCAAGAAATGGAGAGTTGCAGACTTAAAAAGCTGGAATTAGAAATACCATTTGACCCAATGTTCTGGTTACCTAGTGCCACTCTGACAAGAATTATACTACAAATGGGATGACCTTAACAAACAGGAGTTTATTCTCTCACAGTTTGAAGGCTTTAAGTCCAAGCTCAAAGTCAGGTTGCGTGAAAGCCCCCTGACCTTGGGTTTCAACTCTGCCTCTTGCTCCCAGCCCACTGAAGCTAGAGACATCTCTTCAATCAGGCAGCTACTGGCTGCTGAGGCTAACAAGCCCAAGGCCAACAAATAAAATGGCACAGTCCAGTTACCAAATCACATGGCAGGCCATCAATTCAAGTCCATTGGAAGTCTCAAGGTCAGCAGAGCATGGCAGGCTGCTGAACAATGACACAGCTACATGCAGGGTCCAAGCGTGCCATAAACTAGAGACCACTCCCAAAGCTGCTGCTTATATATGGGAAGCATACCCAAAGGCAACTACTCAGCTGCTCAGTAGATTCCACCATGGAGTTCATTACCAGTCTCATCAGAGGAATACTACATCCAGCTGCCCAGCCACTCAACCAGGCCCAGCCAAGTTGACACACAAACTTCACCACCACACCTAGCAATCCCATTACTAGGTGTATATCCTAAAGAAGGAAAGCCAGGGCAAGAATAGATATATATGCACACCCATGTTCATTGCAGCACTACAAAAAAATGGAAACTTACGTGCCCATCAACAGAAGAATGGATAACCAAACTATGGTACATAAACACAATGGAATAGTATGCAACACTAAAGAATAATGTAGAATCTGCAGAACACGGCATAACATAGATGAACTTGGAGGATATTATGCTGAGTGAAAAAAGTCAATCACAAAAGGACAAATATTGTATTAATTCATTATTGTAAAAAGTCAAGGAAAGGCTTATAAATGGAAGGAAACTTTCTTTGTTAGTTACCAGGAGTGGGAGGGGAGGGAAGGGGACACTGAAAAAAAAAAAGTGTTGACCCATGGGGGGGAAGAAATAGACTTAATATACACCTACACTAATTCTACTTAACTATCATAACAAAGAAAATTTATTCCTAAATGGGATTATAGCCAGGGGTATAGTGGTTAGAAGATGCTCTGGCAGTGCAGTGGTTAAGACTTTGACTACTAACCGAACGGTCAGAAGTTTGAACTCACCAGTCAGTGGCAGAAAGATGTAGCAGTCTGCTTCTGTAAAGAATACAGCATTGGCAACCTCATGGGCCTGTTCTAGTCAGTAGCAACAGGTTTTATAGAGGTATCTTGGAATAAAGGCCTGGTAATCTACATCTGAACTATTAGCCATTGAAAAGCCTATGGACCAAAGTTTTCCTCTGACATCCATGGGATTACCATGAGTGGGAGTTGACTCAATGGCAACTTGGTTTTCTATGCCAAAGTAATTAATTCACTGACTGCTACTCATTGAGCACATACATTATATTTTTTATCTTTCAAAAATAAATGTATTTATGCACTGCCATAGTGGCTAAGGCACTTGACTGCTAACCAGAAGGC